TCTAACCCTTCCTTCATTGTGAGAAGGCAGCATCGCTGCAGATGCTGGTTGTCCGAGGGAAACACCTTACTGCTATCACACCCCTCTGCAGTCAGCAGTACGACTTCGCCCTCAGACCTTGGGTAGCTGCTTTTAGTCTCATCGTTCTCCAATCGACCAGCCTGGCATGGTAGGACCTGCAGGAACATATGTTCCAGACAGTATAGCTCGGTTGGGTCATCACGATAGGCAAGCCCGACCACCACGTCAAGGTAGCAGCTTCGGTCGGGAAGACTTCCCATAAAAGGGCAGTGTTCGATCGGCCTCTAGCGAGTGTCTCTTTGGCTTTCAGGTCGCTAACGCCAACGCTCATTCAACTTCCTTTCCAGGCTCCTCAAGAAACTTCCACGGTGTTGGCAACGGGGAAGTGACATTTGCCCTCACGCCAATAATAGCATACGAGACCGACTTGTTCACAATCAAATCTTTCACACACTGTTGAATAACTTTCTTATCTCAATGATTACCCTTCTCGTATACCTTTATCACCTAGAGCCGCTAGTGCCAAAGATCTGAGTTCACGAAATGTAGTTTCTGGTCTCCTGAAACGCCGCTAAAAACCACATGTTGGAGCTTTTAATGTTCGTACCGACTGGTAGGCTGTCTTCCGTAGCGAGGACTCCAGAATCAAGTGCTATTGATGTATGCTGATTCTTAGAGACGCGCATACAGGATTTTAGTGCAGTCATTCGTTTAATGTCATCTCGTCAAAATAAAGGAACGATGCAATTTACGCTTTGTGTATCTAGAGACTGTAGTGCTACTTTCTGTGGCCTCGCTGGTGTATAGTAGTGAGTACCGGAAAACGAACTCTCTTACACTGGATTCAGGACAATAAAAAACCCGGGAAGACGGAGACACTAGCAGTTGCCTCTGCGTTCTCTCTGCCTACTCTCGGACTAATTGCGAGTCATATGAGGTAAAAATGGATTTTACAGAAAGCTTTCAAACCACCTTCAAAAAGATAAGCATTCTGTTGTGGTAATGCTGGCAGGTGATTTTAATGCTCATGATTTTTCCACTTGCAACCATCGAAGAGAAATGTTTCAGCAATAGTGTCTAAGATATTTGCTTCAATAATACTTCGACGCCGAAATAAAATTCGTGGAGAGTAAACTCCAGTAAACCAGACTCGTTTCAGACCTGGACGTGGATGCAAAGACCACATATTCACTCTCCGGCAGGTCCTAGAACACAGGCACATTTCGACATCCGACAATAGTTGTATTCCTGAACCTCAAGGAGCTATCTGACTATGCTGATCGTGATCTTCTGAGGAAGTGTCTCACTGAAAGGAGCACCAAAGAAATAAATCAATCATGTACAGGCCCTCCACTCAAACACTACTGGTCCAATCAGAGCCTATGGCGGCCTATCAAAGGAACTTATTACCTCGAGTGGTGTTCGTCAGGGTTGAGCACTCCTTCCATTCTTGTTTAACTTCGTTGTTGACGTGCTTTTAGAGACGACACTTTCATCATCTGACTTTCCAGGAGTGGACCTTCTACCAGAAGACATGGTTGTTGACCCAGAATAAGCCGATGACAGTTCTGTCTGGTGACCACCTTAAGTAACAATGCAAGTTCGTAGTGAAAGTCTCCCCCTCGAAATGCAAAATGTTGCCTCAGTATTGGCTTGCATCGGTGCCCGAACTAGTGGTAGGGAATGAAGTAGTTGAGAGTGTTGACTGCTTCACTTATCTTGAGAGTCTCATCAAGGCTGATGGTCTGATGTGTGACGAAATCTAGGTACAAATACACAAGGCTCGACTGGCCTTTGTCAACTTGCGTCATCTATGGCGTAGGCGAGATATCCGTCTACTAACAAAGGATGAACCTACAGCGTAGCAGTTTGCTCCGTTCGATTACAATATGGGTGTGAAACACGACCATTAATGTTAGGAGATATATGTAGGTTAGTGGTATTCGATTATGGTTGTTTTCAAAACATTATTCGTATATCCTGTGACTGACAATTACATCTGTGCGTGCTGATGTGGCGTGGCAACTTGAATTGATGTACGTAAGTACTAAGTTCTGTGTTGTCGCTGAATGACATCAGTTTCACAGTCTACTTACCAATTTTTTAACGCTTGTTGGTCAACATGGATAGATATTTTATGACCTCAGATACCTGAAAGGTTTAAATGTGAATGAGATAAAATAACTTAATGCATCATGAAATTTCCAGCTGACTGACTTATTTTTAGCTTGAAGGAAAGGACTGATTTTCAAAATCTTTTTTTTTGCGATGCACTTACGTTAAGGACGCGCACTTTCATGCTGTTGGTGTTGTGTTACAAAGTAATTTACGGATTTTATGGAGATGTGCTTAAATTCTATATGACTAAGTGAGGAAGGTACATGACCAACAACACACTTATCTCCAAACGTTCCTACTTTTAATAAATTTGATCAAACAGGAAAGGCAAAATAATCAACGACATACTTGGGACGCTTAGTTATCCTTTGCCTGATGAGAGGTCTCCCTATCGACCCAGGGACGGAATGCTTTGGAGACTTATTAGGAAGGATGGTATCTAGATTAGTGCTGTCAAAGCCAGGAGGTAACGGTAGCTCCGTAATAGATGGTTTTTTACTCTCAGGTCTGAAACATAAACATGAGTAAGGATATTAACTTACAGATTTTCCGTAGGTAAGGGTAACTGATGTGTTTTTGATGGCTTAGAAGTTTGCGGTATATCCACACCATGTGAATCTTTTATGTTTTGATTAGGGTTGAATGGTTCTTGCACTGCCGTATCTTTCGATACTGGTGTGTTGTTACAGGACGTAACCGAACTAGATAGCTTTTTGCTTGGTTCTGGTGGTAAAGCTATCTCATCTAATGGGATTAAGGAAGATTCAGATCTCGGAGCATCGGGACACTTTATGTTTGACTGTTTCACATCACGTTCAACTGAAATTTGACGAAAGTGATCGACCTCATGTGTCTCATGAACGTTTTGAGCCTTTAAAATTTTCTCCTTAAAGTTATGGTGTTTTGACAGTTCCGACATAAGACTTGATCGAAATTTAAAGGAACTGATGTCCGTACATTCTGGAGAATGGTGCCTAGAAACACGAAGTTTTTTGTCACTACTGTGACTACGAGAACGTCTTTTATGCTTTTTCTTTCTAAAACAAACAATTGTTAAAAATGATAAATGCCAAACCTTTTTGGGACATCATTTGGAGAGGTTTCAGGTGACCAGTCACTTGCTCTTTTATGTTTGTGACTGGAATATTTAGTTGTGTGGTCACCATGTTCTTTAGAGTGATGGTAATGCTTTTTTTGTTTTCTTGAATATTCATCTCGAGCCTGATAACTTCCATCGTAAGTATTAGTACTATATTCATACTGACGGGTAGTTAAACTAAGAGCCTGAAAATAGTAAACGTGACACTAACCGATCGTCACACAGATCATAGCGGAAAGACTTTGGCCTTTAGTATGAAAACATTAATTTCTGAAAGCCATACAACTTACATCCTGGGACTTTACAGTAGAAACACAACTGGCACCCATACATACAAAACCGGCGCCCTAAAAATTCTAAGTTGAATGTTTGGCTTTTGTCTGTGTTGCATCATAACGTACGTATGGTCAGTCTTGTAGAAACAGACTAGGCGAAATTAAACTTCACATATGAAAGCATATTTAGCCAAAATAAACGAATGACGAAAATTATATACATATTGTTTTAGAATAATCAACCCAGTCAATCATGGAGAAGTATATGCTTGTAACTTCAGTAGTACATTTTTGGCATCGTACTTAGGAATTGCATGAACCTGTATGTATATCCCTGGTAGAATCACTTGCATGACTGCTAAAATCACGCAAAATGTCTTGTAAAAATAATCATCGCTCACTAAGCATATATCTTATAGCACATTCAGTTAAAATTAACAGTCCTAGCTCAATCCAGAATATCTTTTTATTTCGAAAATCTACTTTACTTTGACTGAAACGTTCAAATTCGCGAGCTATTTGTCGTATTTAACTATAAACAAGTTTATCCATAGTTGGACCCGCCCACTAAAACTTCATCATCGATGCTAACTTCAGTAGCTTTACTGGACATACGCAAGCTAAAAGCTATCGTTCACGCATCTACATCAAGTTTCTATGGACAATACTGCTCTGTGCGTCCGGCACAACAACTGGCCATTTCGGGTTACTCACTTGTTGCCATACCAGCTATCTTTCAAAAATGTATTCAGACTCCTTCACTCCTAACTTCCGGTTTTGCTGAATTAGCGGTTCTCGATCACAGAAGTGTTATGGTCAGAAGCGCTGTCAAGCCCTCAGTATCCCTGACATTTTTATTGATGAGCTTGACATCACCCACGTTGTAACTCATACATGGTGGGTTGAGAATTTCTTGGCGTGATTCTACAATACAGAAGCTGAATTCCAGAGAAACGATGTGAAATAAATGTATTCTGTTCCTCGGAGAATTGTGAGGACCACTATGAGATATTAACACTTCCATAACAGTCCGTGTCTTTATGGTCCTTATATTACTCCGCAAACTTGAAAATTTATCTGATAATCAAAGATCAGACAGATTACCTTACACTATCGAGCTACAAAATGGCTTTTAAGCAAGGATGATGCTTAGAATAGATAGCGACATTGTATAATTAACTTTTAACGAAGTCCTTTTCAGATAATATATCATATCTAGGATTCCTCAAAACATTCATGACGTTGTAGTATCATCCTTAAATTACACTGTAGACAAACTGGTTGCATCTGCAAATCAGATTCCAGAAATCTCCAGAACCCACAACATCTTTATTCGTTCAATCAGATATCTGATCCATTATCACTCTGTTTTATAGCACTTATCATGATTGGAAACGATCGCAAAAAGGTAATCGCAAAACAATGTTACTTTGAATCACGAGAGGTGGATAAACTTAATGGGTGTTAATACCTAAACACTAACGGAAACTCTTTAAAATAACTATGTGGTTCCTCTAAACCTCTAAGCTTCTACCGAAACAAAACTGTCTGCAAAATCTCCAACCATCAAGCCATTGTGGCAGTCGTAGACAATAGATGTAGCCGTCGATTACACACGAGTGATATGAAAAGGAAGGCTCAGTATCTCGTAAATTACTATAGATTTAGGCGTCCACACCAGGAAGACTAACGACTGAATACATGTTACCCGGTTACCAAACATTTCACGAGCATCACTTTCGCATATGATCAATGGACGAAAAAACAGCGATTGGGGTTTAACTGGGAATGTTTGATAATTTCATCCGAGAACTACCTCACATCCTCAGCTGTTAGCTCCCATTCACGACTTGATCTTCTTAAACAAGCCCAACCTTAAAAAGAAGATACTATTATCTAGCACCGGTTAGCATCAGAAAACTTAAGGACGCTGAGGAAACTTTAATTTGTGACACCTCTACAAGATGGGATAGCCTAATCGTGCACAAGCATTTTCGATATAATCGTTTTATTATTTTGCACAAACTGTGTAAGCTGTCATAAATCTTAGGCAGTTGGACAATAAATGTCTTTTAGGGGCTCGCTCAACTCATGACGCTTGCTTCAACCACGCACATGTTGACTTGGTAGGACCCTCGAAGGGATTCGAACGGATACTCTTAAATCCTGATGTATGCGGATCATTTCACACGTTAGCCAGAAGCAATAACTATCGAGGATAATACTGCTAAAATATTGACTCGCTTCTTCGTCGGACAATGAGTAGGAATCTTTGGTTGCCTATCAACTGTTGTTACGGACTGCCAGTTAAAAAAATGAACATTTCCGTTATTTCACTGTACTCCATGAAATCACACGATTCCTAATGACCGTCCGTCACCCACGAGCTTATAGTTCGACAGAAAAATGTCACCGATTTCTGGTGAACCAGCATTCAGCTGCCGGCCTATCACAGTAGAATGGAGCTCTGCCAGTGGTATGACTCGGTATTCTTGATGCGTTGAAACCTGAAAATGGATGCATTGCTGCCAAACTCAGTAGATAAAGATCTAAACTCCTACACCAGCAGGATATCAAACTCAATGTACTAGGATTACTAACATGTGACCATTGTCAAACCCGTTTTACATAGTAGTATAACGATTTTGTATGTCGCAACTAACTACATTGACAGCATGAGGCTGCAACGAAGGACCCTATGAAATTCTACTTCACGAACCGAAGTAATATGCGATTGACATGAACGAAAACGAAGGCATCAGTGGCTCAAAGCCACTTGTCTAGGTTAAGGAAAATTTCAGATTGATTTCCCTAACACGCAGTCGAACAATTCAACCTTCGCAATAACGATACAATACTGGAGAATGTACGACCACAACCACACTTCGCTGGTATCATATGACCTACTACAGGAATTATCAGGCTCTCAGTGAATTTGGATGGATGCCGCATATAGGATATTCAGGAAAACTATGCCGCATTTATCTCTTCTCGTTATTTCTACAGATATTTGGTCTCATTATTAATTTTTATTCAATTAAAAACAAACAACCCAAAGATCAATTTTTTTCATGTAGGCTTAAGTATACTTATTCACAACTAGTCTAGTGTTTTTTAGATGCTGATATACATGTGCATAGTTTTTGTACAAATAGCATACAAAAAAAGCCTTTTGTGTTGAATATTTTTCGCTTCGCTATGATATAATTACTCTTGTTTTTAATTGAAGTTTTCTTCCTTCGTTTTCCTTGCTCGCAAAGGCACGGTTATTTTTCGACGCCATTTACGTGTTCATTTCTATCATTTCCACCACACATAGAAGACTGACGGTGGGCATAATGAGTTATTCGATATTTTCCCACAATTTAAAAGTTAAAAGTACCGGACAGTCGTAAATTGACTGGTGTTATCTTAGGATATTTGATGATTGGTCAGTTATGCTCATAACGAACATACCCCCCAAGCGGACACCACGTCTAGGCCTCGATACCGTCGCGCTTTAATAACCCGCCTCTTACAGTAGGCACAGCTTCCGAATATACCGGCTGATCTCTTCGGTTGCTGTCCTTGTGGTGGCCAATTTCTACGTGTTCTTTGTCTTCGTAATTAGCCCGTCCAGACAATCGTTACTAAATAGCGTCTGACGGTTAATAAATCAGAAGGTAAACTCGAAGTGTTGAATACGTTTATTTTGGCACATCACAAATAGGATAGCAGATCACAAGCAGACCGGGCAGGCACACTAGCGAGTGAATGTGCGAATGTGTGAATGAATTAATAAGATTAAAATGTTCGTATATGTACATAGGAAAATGTCTGAGTCATCGTGATATTTAAGAGATCAATATTAAAGCGAATAGGATGCATATGCGCGTAGGTGGTAAGCAATGCTCAGTCATACCAGCTCATACAAATCACACAATAATAAAATCCAATGGTACATATAATTTATTGTTTTACAAATGGCCTGGTTAAATAAATTAATCGAAAGGGCTTAACCAAAGTAAATGTAAGCGAACTCGAATATACGTGGAGGCACTACATCCTCAATCAAACTGTTCCGACTCTTCCATCTGTGTTACGCATGTACGTAAACAGGTCAATTTCATGTGCTTGAATTATTACGAGTTTACTTTGTTCGGAGCGAGGATCCGGAGACACGACAGGTTACTCTAACCCGATTGTCCCAACCCCCTATTGAGTAAAAGAAGAAGACTAGATATGAAGTATGACCTATTGTGCATATTCCTCATTTGTACTCTAATATTGAAAATGTGGCTGTATAATACTGTTTCTGTCAGTGATATGGTGTAAATATGCAATCAGAAACTGTCTCTTATACTTAATTTAACTGCTATAACTTTTACAGTAATTGTAAAAGCATTTGTGACAATTTGATCTAGCCTGTAAACTGGCGTGACTCTTGTAACTTAGTTATTTGAGAATAAATTATTATTATTATTATTATTATTACAATCATCCATAAAGTACGAGAAGAGAAACATGATCCCGGGCAAGGGATCCGAGTCCTGGTCATAAAACATTACGGATAATGAGTATTTATACAGTTAGGACGGCCGATGGGAAACATTTGGAGCATGCGACTGTAGAATCCTTTTTGAATGTTTTGTGCTTTGGAAAATCCCTCCATGTTTACATATTTTTGCTATGACATGACGGACTTTTTCTGTTGACATTTTTGGTATTTTATTTGATTCCAATTTGAGATTTTATCATTGTATATTGTTATTCTTTCTATATTTTGTACTTATATTGAAGTTTTTGTGTTTGCTTCTGAACTGTACATATGTTGTTTAAATTTGATATAATATGGCTACCGCCACATTTTTGGACTGACGCAGTGGCCGCTGGACTTAGCGTCACTTATTTGTTACTGTGTCTGCTACTCTGCGGAGTAACTGAACCCTGGAAGAAGCACTATTTCCAGGTAATGCTTTGTATTTCCATTTTTTAACTAATACAGACGCTTTCTCCTAGAATTTTGTCCTTTTTGAATTGGTTGGGACCTGGGACTGGGAAAAGCGTACAAGAGTGCCTCTATTGGAACCCCTTGGGACGGCCAC